TTAAACTTAAACTTCAAAATTAAACAGTTTTCGGAATACTAAGTTTACTTATTTTAAACAATACAGTCTGCTGAAACTTTCAGTATGATTACTATATTGTGTTGAGATGGAGTGAAGCAACATCACTAATAACTTTTGAGAGAAAGAAAGGAAGAGGGTATAATATGTCAACTACTATATATCTACTTTATCCAGTGCTGATGAGCCCTTTTTCCCAACATAAGGCCCCTCAGGCTGGTTAGGATATGATAGACATAGTAGTGGTTGAGATTCTGTTTATATTAAATAAAACTGCTTGACAAAACTGTTACAGTGTTAGCTGGACTAAGTAGTATGTGTATGTGTGTGTGTGTGGGGGGGGGGGGGTCACTATTAAAAAACTTGAAAAGGCTTGTGTAAAAAACACACATACACAGAAAATATATATAACAAGAAGCAAAAATGAAGCTAAACAAAACGAGTAAATCACACAATCTTGATAATAAACATATAAAAAAAACAAAAGATAAAAAAAGGGGGAAAAAAAAAAGAGATAAATCTTTTCAGCTTTTGGTTACAAAGGCTTTCCGAAGTTTCCAAATGTTTCCAGGATCCCAATTGACTAAGAATCCAAAACATAGTTGGTAAGAAATGAGAACTTAAGATTACTGCCTATTTTCCAAACACTTATCCAGAAACCGCAAGAGATTCATAAGAAATATATTATGAAGATGAATATCATGAAAAAAAAACCTGTGAGCCAAAAATAAGTAGCAGTCGAAGTTTATATTCATGTAAAGATTCAAGAAATTCAACAAGATAGGTGAAAAACTATACAGAAGAAAATAAAGATAAAAGATAAAAAAAAAAAAGAAGAAATTGCTGAGTATAAGCATTACTTAACAGGATGACTTGATCCAGAATAAAATTTCATAGATTGCATCATAACTAGGACTATCACAGGAAGTCCTAAGGTACTGAAAGAACTGAGACTAATGGCTAAACAAGTGAACTTTTAAAGACCCTCCAATATGACTAAAAATGGAACATGACAAATATTTTTAAAAAATCATAAATTTTCAAGTCAAAAAATCAATGGCATTTCACCACTCTAAAGAATATAATGCTATTAAATTAAGTATTCTGTTTAGTCCAAAGGAATGATTGACTTAAAACTGACCTATTTTCATCAGGATTGTGGTCTTTAAGCCATGCAAGTAATGACCCTTTCTTGAAAGCTGAAGTAGCTGAGAAGCCTTTCTCTTTCTGAATATTGGCAATTGTTTCAGCATTCAAAACAACTTCAATCAGCCCCTCATTGTAATCTGTCGAAATACACTGGTAAGGGATCATCCTAAAAAGCAACAATATTCAAAAGGTATTTAATTTTTTTACTGTTGATTGAAAATAATGCATTAATACATAGAAGAAACTGAAATTAGGGAATTAGCTGTTTGATTTACATTTTGTTCTTTAGTAAATCTTAGACTACTCATAATTTTTGAAAAGTCTTTGCCAAACCTTTTTCTTTTCAATGAATCATTAATTTTTATTTGATATGTCATGGTTTCATAACCACAATTACATCAGACACAAAAACATGTCTTAAATTAAAAATCACAACATTACAATATATATATATATGTATATATATATATATGTGTCTAAAAGCAGGACACATTACATAATGACCCACCTTATGGCTTGTTCCCTGGTGTTTAATGTTTGTTTTGAGACTGCATTTTTTGTTTGTTATTTTTGTTGCTTTCTTCCCAGAAAACTAAATAACTACACACATACACATAAATACATACATAAACACACAGTACTGGAGATAATTAATGACAAAGTGAATAAATTGGTACAAAATGCAAATATTAGGAGTTTGTTTCCGCTCTACTATATGAAAATGAGCTTCACCAGAGTTGATAGTTTACAACGTGACTGAGTGCCATTCAACCAATCAATACCATACCAGCATAATGCCTGTAAAAGACATACACTTATACTTTTCCTAGCAGTAGAATGCACTCCTGTCTCCCAGAAGAGAAATGCTATATGTTTAAAAAACATGTAAAAATCAAAGTTTTGGTTGGTGAAAGCTACGACATGTGAGATTGAGGTAAAATTTCATGTACCATTAAGAAATGTATGAAAATTGTGAAGAACGTACAGAAGTAGTTGAAGTATAAAATTACAACTCTTCAAAACTGATATTAAGTAACTTAAGGTATGCTCTTTATAGATGACAATCCATTATAAACCTTGCCACTGACCTAGCTCTAAGTACAGCTGTGAATATTATATCCTAAACAGTAAAATACACATTAGAACAAAGTAGCCTCAATGGATGTGTACCTTCTCAAAAACCACTCCTTAGGAGAGATAACTAAACTGAAATGGCAGACTGCACATAATGGGATGAGCAAAGTTTACGGATATTGCTCTTTACAGACAAATCCAAACCGTCTGGTGGCAGGAATCAGTCTCATGGTCAATATATAACATATACAGCAAAGTATGTTGGGGGGATATAAATTTGGGCTGTGTGTCAACCAATCGTTTTGGAGGTGACAGTACTGACACCATGCATCTTCCTGCAAGGCTGTGATTCCAAGTATGCAAAGCTATTTGGAGGAAAGGAACACAATGGACTACTTTCGACCATGGCTTGGCCTGTATAATCTTATATGGAAATTGAAGTCAAAAGTAATCAAACAATTTGGATAAATTGTGTGGAAGTAATACAGGACATTGGAATCAATGCCTCACAATCATACTTTGATACACTTATGGTAGCATAATAATAATAAGATTTATTCATATTATTCATGTTGACAAATAGATGCTAAGGTAGCAATGAGACTATGAATGCCATGTCAGGATTTTTTTATTCTCAACGTTTCAACTACAAGTCTTCTTCAGTAAGCACTAGCTTGTACTGGGTTCAAGTTTGCATTTTTTTTACAAATTAATTATATAAATTTCTTCATAAGCTCCCATTTCAGTTTCTCCAGCACAGATTTCTTCACAGATTTGATAAACTAAAGCATAAAATATATTTCTATAAACACAATGAAAAGTTTATGTAAAAGAAATCATCAATGGAGGGATGTGAAATATATTTACTTATTTTTGTTTATATACTCTTTGTGGTCTAGTTGACATTTTGTTTTGCTACAAGGTGAAATCCCTTCTTTCTTCAATTTCATTTTTGTTGTATTTAGTAATCTTCACAGGTTTTTCAGTTTTTTGATAAAATTACTTTAAAGTTATTTAAAGCTTTTTTAATTTTTTTATTGTCTACTTCCTCTAATTGTTTTTGAATATACTTATAATCTATTTGAGCATTTTGGAAATATGCATAAATTAATGGAATAATAGTTTTGTCTTCCTCCACTTCAGTATCATTTTTTATAAAAAAATTTCTTCTGTTATAGTGAAACCTCTTTCAACTACTGTATTTGGCTAATGGCAATTCCTTTTTTTAAATTATTTAAAAAACTGATACATTTAGTTGGCAGTGCTCAGGATGGTTACCAAAAAAATCTAAATATCTATACGAGTTAGTGGATTTGTAGTAAGTGACAGTTATTAACTCTCCATTTTCCTTATCTTTAAATAAAACACCAAAAAAAGGTAAATTGTTATTACTCATTTAAAAGGTTAATTGTGTATTCATCATATTATTTAAAACCATCATAAATTTTCCCACATTGTGGAGATTATTCCAAATTAAAAACAACCATTGAAATATCTTTCTCATGCTACTCTTAAATAATTCACACATTCAAAACCAAAGTGATTTTAAAGGGTATTAAATGTAAGCATGTCGAACTATCCATGATTAAAGTAGCATATAAGTTGGGGTAGCTTTAATCTCCAAACCCATAAGTTTAACTTTAGGTAAAAAACTAGTTCCTTGAATAATACTTTTATTTCATTCCACTCCAGGTTTTTGTTTAATAAGTTTAATATTCTAGTGATCTCAACAGAGAATATTCTAATTTTTCTCAGACTATCTTTTGTGAGAGGTTGCCTTTCCTTATTATTTTATTTTCTTTGATTTCAAAATCTTTGCCTGCTGGTTTCTTCAAAATCAAGTTCAATGTAATTCACTGTCACCATTCTTTCTTGGTTAATCAATTAATTTCTAGATATACTCCTTCACATTTAGAGATGACTAAAGGGTCTATGGGAATTCACTAGCTAATTACATTTAGGAGATAACTCCTTCATAAAACTAAAATCTAGCTTTGAACCACCTACAGGAAATTTTATGTATATTTTAAGATTTATAAAATAAATAACAAAATATGTAGAGCATTATATGTAACCCAATTGTATTTCTTAATGTATGTGATGTGAAGAGAACTGAACATGTGATGAAATAAATAAAAGAAAAATAAACTGCAGCATGCATACTTGCACAGACTAGATTACAGTCGATACTTCGACTAGTCTACGTTTAATCTCACAGCTTTCACTTTCTTGGTATTAATCTCCAAAATGTGTCTTTATTTGACAATCTCTTAGTATAACTGAATCAAGAAAGCGCATTTCAATTCTAGAGGTAAACTCAGTTTAGTTGTTCAGTCAATAGTGTCACATTATTATCCTTCTTCTCTCACAGCATTGGTAAGTTGTAACACATAGGCCTTGTTAATTTGGCCAACACAGGACATTACAGTCACTAATCCTTTCAACATGGATGCTATATGTTATTGTAATATCCTTCAGGCAGAATAAACATTATCTACAATAGAAATCAAAGAAACAAAGCAACTAGAACAAGACAACTTCAATGAGTTTCTGGACCATGTGGATATGCTAAAATTGCATCTAAATTAAATGAATAAAAAAATTTAGAAATTCCCATATAACTAAAAGAAGAAAAAGTATGATATTCCTTCATATCCCACTTGTAATTCTTTTCAAAGTTAAAAATTATTTTATTAACAACTGAACAACAAAAACTAAAGAATATGTTAAAAATATGTGTAATGAATCTTTGTAACCATCAAATTATTTTCTGTTGAAAAATTTATTTAAAAGATATAATTTAATTTCATGGTTTTACCGAAAATCTAAACCTTCATCTTTCCACATTTTGTCCATAATGCGAATCATCTGCAGTGTTAGCATATCCTGTCGTAAATCTAAAATCGAAGTAAAAATATTTGAATAACACAGAATTAGATTCAAACTTTCTAGTCAGTGGCGTAGCAAGAGGAGGCAGTGTGAATGGGGGCAAAATTTCCTCTGGCCTATAATGCCTATTAATTAATAATTATGCCCTCCCCTAGGACATAGCGCAACTGCCCTACTTTAAGTAAATACGACACAGTGTGACGTTATTTGTGTGTATTACGCTTGCTGTTTTAACTTTTAAAAGCCGCCCACTGAAATACAGTGAGATCTAATTGACTTACAGAAGAAAATTACACTATTCCATCATTCATCTGTAGATCAAATACAAGTCCTAGAGTACAACATACAAGTAAATGTATGGTCAACAAAAAGAAAATACGAGATTGATGTAACATATTAACTGGTGTGCAAGATTAGCAATATATGCAACAGGCAAGATCTAGATCTAGTAAACATTATAGGCCTAATGTAGTGGTTTGTAATTGTATTGGCTGATTGTAAATCATGTCTTACACCAACTAATGTAATAGACTTTAGGTCTAATTGCAGTTATAATTTTATTTCTAGACCCTAGGTTCATCATCATACAAATTGTAGCATATATTATAGGCATACTTAGACCTATAATAACTATTAAATTAGGCATTGCACTGGGACAGATCTAATGACTAAGTTAATAGATGTAACATTTGTTCTAAAAGTTAGGCCTAATAAATCTAAATCTAGAATTGATGAGGCAGGGTTATATCTAGATCTGTGTAGATTCAATACAAGGTGCTTTCAATCTATGCACTCAAATCTAAGGTCTAGTTTAGATGTATAAAGCTAAATGTATCTCATTATTATTACATCTAGATCTAAACCTAAGACTAAAAAGATGGAAATAATAGGTCTAACATTAATGTTAGATCTAGATATACTAGCGACTTAATCTAGGAACTGTAATCTAGCACCACTAATTAGTTAGCCTATATTTAAGTTTTCTCATTCTATCAAAACCTTTAATATTAAATATAGCCTTTGAGCCTCTAGACTTATGTTATGATTACACCCTTCTCCACAGTGTGTGTGTAATGTTCAATCGAACAATTTCAGACTTGTCTCCTGCAGTTTTTGTGTAGTTAAACCTATCGAGCCTTTAAAT